GCTAAATTAGGGACATTTAGCGCAGATAGCCCTCGTGTAGCTTTGCATGAAATTAAAACAAACAAACAGTTAACATACTAAATAAGGTGTCCCCAATCGTAGTGCCCCCCCCCCCAAAAAAAAGAAAAAATTAAAATTTGTTTACTCGCTATTATATTCATCATTATATTTATTACAACAAACCATGGTGATGACTTATTTCTTCTTTAGCGTTTATAAAAGATGTGTGCCAACTTGTGGCACAGCGGTATGTCTGTGGACTTACAACGCTAGAAACCGGGTTGCTGGGCAGAGCACAGACAGCCCATTGTGTAGCTTTGTGCTTAATTACAAACAGATAAGATGTGTTGATGGTTGTACTTACCAAAAAAAAAAAAAGAAAGAAAGAAAAGAAAGATGCTTAAGTCGATTCATATGTGGAGATTCTTTTAGAATTGCCAGACGGGTGAAGTTTATTAATAAATAAAATGTGTTGGTTTACTTACAATTATCTATTTAATTGTTCAGTGTTGCTTCAGTACAACTTAGTAATGTGTTGAAATTCTGCTTCCTCCGGGGGCTATAAAGAAACAGGTTACGCTGTTACCATTCTCCTCGAGATGTGCTTTATTAAAAAGAACACTCGCTGTATAATTAGACAGTAGCTGAACGATGAAACAGTTTTTTTTTATAGAACTTATAATTGCAAGGTTATCCAATCACTAGCCATCCAAGCACATTCATTATAATCATTGCTACCCTGCTGCTATAAGCTTAGGAGGGGTGGGTGAGAAGGGGGAACGCCCCCTCCCCCCAAATCTGGCCCAAATGATTTTTCGGGCAAAACCTCCGTACATGTCTATACCTTTTATATCTGGAAACCGATCATGCCTTTTCAGAAAATATAGTACCCACACGTAACATTTTCACTTGCACCTTTTTAACCCTTTAGCGCCGTATGGTTCCGCATGGAAGTCATTGGAACTATTTTGTTTCAAGCGTATGGTTCCGCATGGAAGTCATTGGAACTATTTTGTTTCAAGCGACTTTAAGCCTTATAATACATGATTTTAAGGTCGATTTTATATTTTCGGGCAAAACTTGCTTGCTCCCCCCCCCCCGGTCAAAATTAAGCCCCTACGCCTATGCCTGCTACCCAATTTTCTGATACTAGACACTGAGTATTTCTACTTTCAGAAACTAGTACAATAATATAGCAAGATTTCGGAATGCATCATTCAAGTAGACTACACGGCGACATCTATTGGCCAGACTAGCAACACACATAATTATCAACAAGTATTCATACTACAAACCAACATAGTATGTTTTAGATTTGTTGTTAAGCAGAAAGCTACACAAAGGGCTATTTGTGTTGTGCCCACCACGGTTATCAAAACCCGATTTTTAGCGTTATA